GATTTAACAATTTATCAGGTGTCATGAACTTTTTAATAAAACAAAAATTGGGCCAAAAATTGATGGACAAAAGTCTTTTAACATGTGAGAAAAACATTATGAAATCAATACTTAGTAGGTCCTCCGTGAGCCGCCATTGCTGCTTGAATTCTCCTTGGCATGCTGTCAACCAGATCACGTAGAATTTGGGGTCCAATAGTTGTCCAGACTCGACGGATGAAGTACCAAAGCTCCACTTTTGATCCGAATAGTTTCCCTTCAATTTCGACTTCACAAACTTCACAATCGTTCGGCCAATCTTTATGATTTTGGTGTCATTTTGTTGCACTTATTGAGATCTACAAAATGAAACCAAAATCATAAAGATTGGTTCACTTAGAAAAAAGCTATGGTGAGTTGTACAAAGTACATCATGTTTCGTGCATTTCTTCATTCTTTTGTCGAAAAAATTGTATTTATTCCTCAAATTTCATCTCATTTTCCATTTCATTTTATTCAATTTCATTTCATTTCATTTCTATTTACAGTAATCTACTCGTTGCAATGATTTCATTTTCGGATTTCAAATTGGATAATACTCTGAATCAGATTTGAAAAAAAATAACAAATTCAGCAAAAAAAGCAACAAATAGCACAAAAATGAACAAATTCAGCAAAAAAAAAAATTTGCGTTTTTTTTTGAAAATACCGGTTTGGGATGGGGAAAAGTCGATTTAGCAAAAATTTGGGGAAAATTTATTGAAAAAAAGCGCCAATAGGTGTGCAACGGAAAAATGGCATGGCTCGGCGTATTTCCCGCCGATCTTTTTGATTTTGATAGCATTTGACGAAGAATTGAATTTTTGGTACTTGTCGGTTGTCGAAGGTACTTGTCGGTCACACCTCCACAAAGGCTCATCTCGGCTAAGCATCCCCATCCGAGTCTTTTCGGTTATCGATTTTCGTTCGACTCAAAGACGAATCAAAGACGACTGATCACTTCAGGCGAGCACTCGACTTCACTGAACATAATCACCGCTCACAATTCACCCCTCACAAGTTGTCATCTTCTTGCTTAACAGAGTTGAGTCGAACTATATCTGAACCATATTGGAACCATATTGGAACCATATTGGAACTGATTGGAGTAGAATTCGCCAAGCTATGGCATTTTCCCGTTGGACACCTATTGACGACACCGAAAATCCCCAAGCCTGGCTGAGTCGACTTTCCCCGGGTACTGTAGTTATGATTTTTATGGTTTAATGGATAAATATTGAAAATCTATTTTACTAAAACGAAAAATCGGATAATTTTTGTGAAGGCGAGAGTGATGTGTGTATCAGAGTTCGCAAAAAAAGCTACCGGCATTCGGAAAAAGCAAAAAAAAGCTAAGAAAATCAAGCACAACACGCCAAAATTTGTATAAGTTGAGAAAAACTTGGGTTTATGAAGAAGCATTTTTAAAAATCACCCAAATTTTCCCAATTTTGAGTACAGTACAAGGTGTTTTTACAATTGCGACCTTTTTCCGAGAAAATCCTGGGTCGGCGCTTTAAAGCGTGGTAAAACTACCGTACCCCTCGAATTTGAGCAAAATTTCATTTTTTTTCATTCTTCTTCATTTCATTTGATTCTTTTTGCGTTTTTTTCACCGTTTCAACGTTTTTTCAACTAAAAAGTTAAAAGTAAAGCTTCCGCCATAGAAAATGATAAAAATCACTTAACTTAACATTTGTTAGCTGGAGCAGATCGTCGGAAGCAAGCTGGTCTAAAAAAACGCTACAAACAAAGCTTCCGCCACAGAAAATGCTGTTAAAAACGTAACATAGCTTTATCCTCTTTGTTTCCTGCAACAACAAACCCGACCATATCAGAAAAATGCAAAAAGAATCAAATGAAATGAAGAAGAAAGCTAAGTTACGTTTTTAACAGCATTTTCTGTGGCGGAAGCTTTGTTTGTAGTTTTTTTAGACCAGCCTGCTTCCGACGATCTGCTCCAGCTAACTAATGTTAAGTTAAGTGATTTTTATCATTTTCTATGGCGGAAGGCTTTGCTTTTGTGATTTTTTAGCTGAAAAACGCAAAAAGAATCAAATGAAATGAACAAGAATGAAAAAAAAGGAGTTTCGCGCAAATTAAGAGGGGTACGGTAGTGTTACCACGCTTTAAAGCGCCAACCCGGGATTTTCTCGGAAAAAGTTCGCAAGTCTTTTTTATCCAGAGATAACCGTATGTTTGCGAGAAAATAGTCAAGGCTTTTTGAGGAAAAATCAACAAAACGAACAAACGAACTATTTGTAGGAAAATTTGTGGAGAAAATGGATTCATAGCGTTTGAGCTAGGCTGGAAAACTACCTGGTCCTAGCCTGGGTTTCTGGTCTTTAAACGTGGACCTTCTTTCGAACCTAATTCTAGCCTGACCTTTTCTTATTACCAACTGGAGCTAGGACCTGGTCTGGTCCAGGCCCTAGCTCCAGTTGTCCAAGACTTGAACATTGAGCTTAGGCTTAAGCTATAGGCACCATTATAATTCTTCAACAAATCCTTTTCGAACTCGAACTTGTACATGGGACTCTTAAGGGATACGGCTAAGGGAACGCAAGCACAAGCCAACGAAACAATCGAATGGCTCAGTGGTTAGAGCGCTCGTTTATGAGTTTACGAGGCTACGAGGACCTTGGTTCGATCGCCTTTGCAGGTTCAAGTTGTTGTTGAGTACTTTGTTGAGCAAAACACTGGGAAAACCCTGAGAATATCGGTGCCTAGAAGTCTAGTTTCCAATCAGATTTATAAATTTAATAAATTTTATATCTAAAGATACCTATATTATGCTCCAATTTTCTCCACAAACACTACTCATTTTCTAAAAGAAATTTCAAGTGAAACTGGACTACCGTATTGTTTTCGCTAAGTTTTGCGTTACCTGAAATATTTTTTTTCAATCGAAAAACTTTTCAAAATGTTTAAAATAATTTTGCTTTCCCTTTTTTTCTATTTGAAAAGTTTTTCTTTTGCTCAAAAATGGGGGATTGAAGCGGATTAATGCATTGACGTCAAAGAAAAACACTAATTCGATTCAAAGAAGTCAAGTGGTTTTGTGAATTTTTGAATAAAGGAATAAAGCGATATTTTGGGAAGCGGATGAAATCGAATGGCTCAGTGGTTAGAGCGCTTGTTTACCAGCCAAATGAGTCAATACCTGGCTCGATCCCCTCGATCCCCTCGATCCCTGGCTCGCAGGTTCAACTTTTTCCAAAACTCTGAAACTATAGCTTACCATAGTATCTGGAACTATGATAAGATTTTATCCAATCAGGTATCCAATTTCCAATGGTTAGAGCACTCGTTTACCGTCGAAACGATTCGATTCTCGTCTTGGTTCGATTCCAGAACTGGTCAATTTGTCAAAAACTACAACTTTGCCTAAAAAAACCACTTGACTTACTTTTTAAACTTTTCAACAACAATAACAACACTTGTACTGTGAAAAGGAGGAAGTATTAACAAAAAAAGAATCCGTAAAAGTAATGCAGTGGCGTAAAAATGAGGTGAGAAAATGGAAAAGAGGTTTTTCCTTACACGGTGATTTCAAAAATGAGGGATATTATGAGATGAGCGGAATAAAAGGAAGAGAAAAAAAGGTATATAATAGATAAAAAGAGGTATACGGTAGAAAAGAGTGACATATAACAATGATAAAGAACAAATAACGAGAAAAGGAGTCGAGGTTTGATACGCGAGGGGAACACGGGGGTTTCGTGCGAGAAAAGATCGTTGGTAGACAGGCTTTCATAGAGTTGATTTTAGAAAGTACCGTAATCAAACCGTCATTAATGACCTTCAAATATCGTAATCTTATTTCAAGGGCGTAAATGCTGACCTTGAAATACAATATTGTTTTTAGAAGCTACCGTAACCCTACCGTAACCGTAGTCTTGGTTCTTCTGGCTTGTCTGTCGGCTGAGCTTTAACTAGTTATCCTGAAGGTTGAACTAAGGGTAAGGCAAGGCTAGAGCCAGGATCAGATCAAAGCCAGAATCAGGCCAAAACCAGAATCAGGCTAGAGCCAGGATCAGGTCAAAGCCAGTATCAGGTCAAAGCCAGGATCAGGCCAGAGCCAGAAGCAGGTCAAAGCCAGGATCAGACCAAAGCCAGGATCAGGCTAGAGCCAAGATCAGGCCAAAGCCAGGCTTACAACCTCTGGGATTAACCCAAATCTTTAGCCTTGACTACCTCTTACCGTAACAATCGTTCAGTCAATGATACCAAAGTTTGACTGATTAAATAAAAACTATAATTCCAGTAGCTTTCTAAAACAAGCACCTTTTAGAAAACGTATTGGGAAGACGGTAAAATCTACCAAAGAACTTTTCTCTTATTTCACAATAAACGAAACTCAAACAAACAAGTAGATACCGTAAATACTCTAATAGAACGCCTCGTACAGTTGTGTAGTCTAACTTCTTTTTAGAAAGCCTTCTTCTTTTTCTTTTTTCTCAGCTCCTAGATTTTTCTCAAAACTTTTGTAACCAAAAAATACTAGATTTCAAGGGCTTTCATTTGACACACAAGTGCATACTGTAGCATAAAGCAGTGTCGAGAATAACGCATTCAAAATTAGACTACGCGACTGTACGCCCGTCATTATGGGGATGGCGTTCTATTTGAGTATTTAGGGTAGATTGAAGCGAGATTTCAAGAGGTTACAATGGGAAAAGATATGCAAATAGAAAAGCCGATTCCTAGAAAGAACAACTTCTAAAAAAAAATCTAATCGAAAAGCTGATTGTTTTCTTCTTTTTTTCGATTTCCTTTAGGAATTCGTGGCTTGTTTCAGGGAAATCGATGCAGAGATCAGCGTTTTGGGTCAAAAAAAAATGGAGTTTGTTGAAACGCACTCTTTCTGGTGCACTTAATTCCTCATTTTCTTGAGAAATGCACCAGAATGAGTCTGTTTCTAGTATAAAGTACACACAAAAAAAACCGGTGTGTCAAACGTTTACGCGGGGCAACGTTTACGCGATCGGATGGCCCGGATCAGCTGGATGACCATTCGGGGAGGCGGCGTCTGTCTCGCGCAATCGTTCTACTAAAGTGCAAAAGTTATTCAACTTCATGAATATAGTTGACTCTCAATTTCACGACTCTCGATACAACGATTTTGAAATTCTAAAACACACCCTTGTTTTGCATAGCTGCCCAACCAAACGTTGTAGCAGCTATGCAAGAAGGGAGCATTTTTGGGGCATCGTTAAATCGAAAATCGATTAGAATCGTTAAATCGAAATTTTTGATCCCAAGCGAGTCGTTAAATCGAGAAACGAGTATTTTCAAGATAGTTAAAACAATTTTTGCCAGGTAGCTTTCTAAAGATAGCCTTAAAAATAGCCTAGCCTTAAAAATAGGTAGAAAAAAGAACTCTAGTAGTTGATCGGATTCGAACTAAGGTAGCTCAAAAAATTGTGCGCCGCCGGTACTCGATCCCTTCACTCACCAGGCAACTGTGCTAACCATCACACTACAACGCACTTGATCTCCTTTACTCCAGAGAGGATTAACTCAGCCACCTTAACTCCGCCCCTTTTCCGGTTCGTTTGCCGTTGACAATCTACGAATTTTGCTTGTATCTTGAACGGGTTTCTTTAAAAAAAACGTTGAATTTGCCTTTATTCGACTCGAAATGAAATTTTCTATCGAATGAAAGCAAATTCAAGGATTTTCAAACAAACCCAATCAAGATACGAGCAAAATTCGTAAATTGCCAACGGCAAACGAACCGGAAAGGGGCCGGGGTTAACATGCCATGAAAAAAAGACTCACATAACGGTGCCGTTTCAGCGATTGATGTCACTGTTTCATTGATGATTGGTGTCATTGCCATTGTTGTCATCGTTGTCATCGTACTTTTCTTCTCGAATTGTTGCCCATTTTGTCCTTCAGCTTTCTTTTTTCCCTTTTCTCCATCGATCTTCTCTCCCGATTCTCCTTCCTCATTTCCCGAGATTCCCGAATCCGATGGCAAATTTTTCCAATCGATGTCCACCTGGAGTTTAAATGGAATTTAGATCTTGATTTTGTATGTCTTATTGAAAGTTGATAGAAAAGAGATATCTAATACCTATCTGACAACAACAATACTGTAAAAACTCGAATAGAACGGACCCCTATAGAAGCGTCGCGTAGCCTAAGTCTACTCTCAAACAAACGCTCATATCTCAACACCAGTACGTTTGTTTCTACGCGCTTTGGTATCAAATTAAAGTAGAGAAAAAGGGTGTTTTTTTGAGATATAGCACAAGTCGATGATGAAAAATCGTTTTTTTTTGCCACTTTTCAATCATTTTTTTCTAAGCGCTGGTTAATGCTAAAAATATCTGTTATATCTCAAAAAAACACCCATTTTCTCTACTTTAATTTGATACCAAAGCGCGTAGAAACAAACGTACTGGTGTTGAGATATGAGCGTTTGTTTGAGAGTAGACTTAGGCTACGCGACGCTTCTATAGGGGGGGGGGCTTCTATTAGAGTATTTACGGTATGATTATACTTTCAGAGTGTCCCCCTTGCCCACTTAGCTGAATATCTTCTAGTTTCGTGAGGAATTTCACACAAAAGGGGCAGCTACGAAAAGTCTTCTCTCCGAATTCGAATCAGGGCTTTTTTGGAGGCCAACGTCCAACAGAACATTAAACTTCAAAGTCGAAAGATGCACAAGCGGAAAGAAGAGCAAAGAAAGAATCACTGTGCTTTTTGGAGCAAATATGGATGTGAGAAGTGTTCTCTTTTGGTGGAAAAATCGAAGCAGCCACAATGCTTCAAAAACGTCAAGAAATCGGCTTCATGGCTTTCCTAACTGACCCATTTGTTTGAATTTTTCCATAAAATTAAAAGATATTCAACTAGAGCTTTGACTTTGAAAGTAGGTAATACAGTATGCAGTAGATGTGCTTTGTTAACCTTTCCCGAGTCGGATTGTTCGGCAAGCTGAGCGGCCAACCGCAACGCGTCCAAGTGTTGCTCCATACTCAACAGAGGCTCGCCCATTTTCTGAATTATTCTCAATAATGGATATATTATATTTTGAATATTAGATCAAATATCTTCTTCTTCTTCTTTTCCTTACCTCTTTCATATTCGGATGTGCAAGGGTGAACGGAAGAGCCAAACTCCAGCAGACTGTCGCCAAGGCGGTAGCTCGTGCTTCAAGAATTCTAAAGAAATTGGAGAATTATTAGATAAAACTAATAGATATTTAACTAATTAAGATAACTAAAATATCTAGCTTTGGGTTGAATCGAATGAAACACAACACAAACAAACACAAATCTTTTGTCGTTAAATGTTGATTGCCGGCTATCTAATGAATATATTTTTATGTTATTTAAAACCTGTTTTCTTGGTTTTTTCCTTGTTTTCCTCGTTTTTTCCTTATTTTCTTGGTTTCTTTGTCTTCCCATCCTGCTAATTTTAACGTTTTAGGATGAACGATTTGAAGTATCGAAATGATTTGTATGCTGTATGACTTCAAGCAAGGAAAAACGGCAGCTGATTGCCATTGAGTCATTGCAAGTGTATTTGGCCAATCAGCAATCTCCGAAAGACAACGTCGAGCTTGTTTCCAACGATTTTACGAAGGGAATGAGGACCTTGAAGACCAGGATCGAGGCTATCCACTACCGGTGACCAACATCGATCAATGTTGTAATCGATGTTGAATTGACCACGGGTAATCGATGAATTGACGAATCGAATGAATCGATGACGATGACGCAAAACCGTTGAGGAAAACCAATGCGTCTCGTGAGCTTGCCGACATCTTTGATGTTGGTCAACCATTTTGAATCATCTGCACCTAATTGGAAAAACAATCCACGGCGGTAAATGGATTCCACATCAGTTGAGTGATGCAAACAAGGCAACCAGGCAGTTGTTGGCTGGAATACTCCTTCGAAAGTCAAAGAACAGCGGGTTCTGGGACTCAAATGGATTTCGTACGAGAATCTCAACAGGAAACGACAGTGGCTCAGTGTAGTCGAATCTCTTGTAACGACCTGCACTGTAACGACCTTTACGGGTCCTGTAACGACTTCAAATCTGGACCTGCGCGGAAAGAAGGCGTGGTGGAATACAAAGGAACTTGTGCATTTTGAGTTGCTCGATCACGGACAAACAGTGAATTCTGAACTCTATGCTCAACAACTTGACAACAACAACAGTCAATCAAGAACTTCAGGACTAATTCGGGACTTCAGGACTAATTCGGGACTTCGGGACTTCGGGACTTCGGGACTTCGGGACTTCGGGACAAAGTTCGTTACCTTCAAGATAACGCTCGCCAACTCATTGCAAAGTTGACTCAAGAGAAACTCGAGGATCTTAGTTGGGAATCTCTCCCTCATCCGCTGTATTCCCCAGATCTCGCCCCAGATTATTTATTTCGATCCATGCAACACTCTTTGGTTGGGAAGAAGTTCAAAAACCACGATAAGACCGAATCTTGATGCGCCAATGGTCAAATACCTCAATTTTTCGAGAATGGGATTCGAGATTTGAAGGAAAAGTGGAGAACGATCATCGAAAATAATGGCGAATTGGAATAATTGTTGTTTTTCGCAGTACTTTAGTAATAAAGTTGATCTGTAGAAAATGGCGGTTTTATTCGTTTCAACCTAATCGATAGTATTTGGATAATGGAGGAGAACTTGAGCCCAGAGTACTTTTAAAGACTTTTAAAAACCACTCACCTCACATCGACTTTTGGACTGGCAACTGATGAGAGCAAATCGTCGAATCTGGAAGGTGAGGATAAGTTTTTTTCTTAAAAATCTCAATTTCTTTTTTATTTTTCAAAACTACACCCTTGCTATTGCTAAATTAAACTTTCGATTCAGGGATTTGATAGAAAAAAAAAGTGGAAATGAAAAGGGTAAACAGATATCAAGCCATCAATGAAATGACTTCAAGAAAAAGGGAAACTGTAGACAAAATGACTCCCATAGAATGCATCAGAGATTAAAAAGTGAGAAAAACGACTTGTTTTAGTTTAGAAAACGGATTAGAAGCTAGGAAGAGATGGATCAGATTGCCCGGAAAGTCTTATCCGCTATTTTAAAGGTTGCTTTTGAATGAACCAATCGATCTATCTTTTGTTTTATCAGAAAGTCTTATTATTTTGTTTACAAATTGCTCATTAAGAAATTCTGAAATCGTTTTTTTGGCTAGTTATTCATTTATAAACGAGAATTTCAAAGAGACGAACAAGACTTTCCGATTAAACCAATAGTTAAGCCCAATTCCAGACCCAGACCCAGGTCAGGAACGATCTAGAGTAGTGGATCAAAGAATTTGTCTTAGTAGTAAGTCATTATCACAGATCTACATGTATCTACCATGTAGGCCCAGCTCCAAGGTAGAGCATTAACAAAGCAAGGAGTTTAGAGTTAGATCAGTGTTTTGTAGATCTAGATCAGCTAGATTAGCTAGATAAGCTACCGTAAATACTGTAATAGTACCCCACCCAGTCAATAATGACGGTGCGGAGTGTTGCGTAGTCTAGCTTTGAACGAGTTTTTCTCAACACTGGTTTATGCTAGAATGCGCGCTTAGGTATCAAAAAATAGCTGAAATTCAGGGCTATTTTTTGATACCAAAGACGCATTTTTTGAAAGTACGGACGCTTTGAAAAAAATTAAATACTAAAAATACTTAAAAACTTTTGCGACTACGCGACTGTACCTCGTACAGTGGGGTACTATTACAGTATTTACGGTAGATGTTTTATCCATACAAGTGTATGGATAAAAAGTATGAATTGTTTGGATAAGATTACGATAGCTTTTGATAGTTTCTATGTTTTAGAAAACAGAAGAACATACTAACTGCAATTGAGAGGTGGAAATATAATCAAAAAAGTAACCCTACGAGTAACCCTAAGATTACCAACCTTGGCATGATTCGATGAGTCGCTTCGGTGACAAGATGCTGAAGTTGGGGAGACGATTGAGCCATTGAATGTTTCGAGAGCTGAATGGAGATTTGGAGAAATGAACAAGCCGAATGAACAAGCCGAATGAATAAGCAGAAACACTTTAAAGCAGCAATCTCTAGCTTTTGAAGCTTCTTACTTTGTACTGTAAATGGAAATGTAATTCAATGTTTGCAAATGGAAATGTAATTCAAACTTTCAACTACAATAATACTGTAGAAAAGAGGTTTTTTTGACTGTAAATGTTTACCTGTTCCGACAAAGAGTGCGCCAATTGCAGCACGGCGACACAATGTTGCAAAAGTCCGCCCACATCGTAAACCCATCCATTTCTCTCCAAAGCCATCGCCAATAATGGGGTCAATTGAACCATTTGTCCTTCCATGTTATCGTCATCGAGTTTCGAGAATCTAAATGCTTTGGCTTTTATTTGAAATTCTGATGGTTTAGAGGTCAATTGTCAGTCAAGTTTTTTCAGAAACGTGATTTCCCGAGGCAGGCCTAGGTCCAGCCCTTGTGTACTTTTGATTAGAGCTAGCTTGGAGTTGAGCTGAGTTGAGTTGAGCCACGGACAAAGACAAGAACTAATACTGTCGATAAGCACTGTAATAGCCTTAAAACTGGTATTTGCTTGTTTATTTGTCTTCAAAATGGTAAAGCAAAAGAGTTTGTCTGTGGCGGGACTCGAACGCACCGCCAGAAGCGGGATGGGTTCTGGAGTCGAGCACACTACCCACTACGCTACCGCCGCCCTTTGCTGGTCTGCGTGTGGCGTGCTCTTATTGGCTAGAGGACGATTTTTTGAAAATGATCGAAACTTCAAATGCATTTTTCTCACCAGGATTTTAGTTTAAGCAAAAATTGAATAGATATTTGGAATGCCCATATCCGATTGGTGTTTACACTACGAGCTTGTCTTGAAAGCCCCAGTTTGGATCACTTTCTTGTAAGCCAGATCAAGCACGAGCCAGACCAGACCAGGCCAGTTCTGGTCTGGTCTGGCCAACTGACCTTAGCTAACGTAACCCGGCTACAGTACTCAAGCGATTTCTCTAGTCTTGAAGATTACTGCAAAGGTGACGGTTACTGGGCATGCTTTGGAGTAGTTATAGGAACGCTTTGGAGCAGTTGTAGAAGCTGGTTTCCAGAAGCCTTGAGCCAAATCAGCCTTGTTCGAGTCGAGTTTCGAACTCGGGCTTGACTCGGACTTGACTCGGCTACCGTAGCCTGTAGCCTAGCTAGGATGCTACAGTAGCCCAGATAGTTATCATAGTTACCGAAGCCCAGATAGTTACTGTAGTTACCCAGATAGTTACCGAAGCCGAAGATTACTGAAAGTGGAGGCTAATTCAGACAGCTTGAATTTAGGAAAGATACAGATCAACTTATAGAGCCCTAGGCCTCATAACTTTGTATGGATCTTACATTTTGAGTTAATTTCGGTCTCATTAAACACGTAATTTTATTCTACATCGAATGATAGTAAAAATCGAAGAGTTTTTGCTGAGAAAAACACGAGAAACCTTAAATTGCCAACGACAAAATAGATGTGATACTGGTGATTCAAACCTGGGATCTCGTCGGAGATTCTTCAGCCGGAATTGTCGCCTCCGACACATGATGATCAAAACGGTGAAACTAACTGAAAATTCTTGATATTCAAGAAGTTTCCAAATTTCCTTTCAAACCGATAAAAACGGCGCCCAAGACGAAAAGTGCGAGGTAGACAACGGCGTCCATTTTGTGTGATTTTGTGTGATTCTTTTAATCCTTTGAGATTTGTTCACTTGATGGTGCGCACGCGTTCACCGCGCAGCCACATCCACCGTTCACTGGAAATTGCATAGGTTGTGAAAAGACCGTAAATTCTCTAATAATAGACAGCCCTCAATTATATATAGTGGATAATAAATGAAGATTGTTAAGGATATACTGTATTTACGTAAAGAAAAACTAATAAAAAAAATAAATAGCAATAAATATCTGTAAAAAAATCAAGAATGAAGTAAAGATAAATCCAAGTTTGAACTGTGAAATAGGTGATTTTTCAGATTTATATTAAAATACCAAAGAATTTCAAATTCCTCCGTGGACCAATTTCTAGAACAAAGATAGTTTTTTGGGACTCAAACAGGCAAAAAACTGTGTTCGGAAAAGTAAAAAAAGTGAGAAAAGGAGGATTTCGTCATTTTTCTTTCTTTTACTCATTTCTAACACACACCTGCGTAGATTTTCGAAAACCTATTACGCAAAACTATCACGAAAATGTAAATTACAAGGTTTTGCTTTGAATTCGCAAGGAATGAGAAATGGAAAGGAAAATTTACAAAAAACAAACGCCAATGGCACTCTTTTGAACCCCAATTTGCACTACGAAAATGAAAGTTGCTAATCTAAAAAATTTGCATACGAAAATTTGCATACGGGAAAAGAAATCCAAATTTTATATCTAGATGATTTTGAGAGTCTAGTACAAAAGTTATCGTTGCAAAAGTTGCATGCACAAAAGAGTTGCAAGAATCCAAGAGTCTAAGAACAAGAACAAGAACAAGAAAAAGAAAAAGAACAAGAAAAAGAACAAGAAAAAGAACAAGAACAAGAAAAAGAACAAGAAAAAGAACAAGAACAAGAACGAGAACAAGAACAAGAAAAGAATCCAAGAGTGAGTTGACCCATCAAAAAATGCTAATTCAGAAACTGCTAATTATCGAATTGTGAAGTTTTTTGAATGCCTTAACAGTCTTGGTAATATACCGCAGCGAACCTTTGCCATTAACTATTAGTTTAGCAGGTTATAACCTCCGTTTTACAGCTAACAAACTTGTATTCCATTGGGATCAATGTGTTTTAGCAAAAAGAGTTCAAAAGATTTGAATGGACTATAAATTTTATCAGTACACTCTTTGAAGAGAAAATTCGTGGTGGAAAACGGGCGAACTTGAGTTTGGAACATAGAATTGATCGGGATTTGGTTCAAAGAAAAGTTTGAAGCGAACATTCTACTGGGTAAGTTCTTATGGAAAAAGGGTATTAAGTAGTGTGTTCCTCGCGAGTAATGCTTTTAAAAGACACTTGGAAAAAATTAGCGTGCTTCAGCGTAGCGTAAAAAAAGTAGCGTAAAAAAGTAATTCAGCGAAAATTATTGCAAAAAAATTTGCGCAAAAATCCCGAGCGCCACTTTATATATACCTCCTTTTAAAGATATTCAGTCGTTTAACTGATTTGGTGGCAAATTCCCTTCCAATGTAAAGATATTCAGTCATTTAAATCATTTCGTGGTAAATCCGTTCAAATTTAAAATATTCAGCTGTTTAACTGATTTAGTGACAAATTCCCTTCAGCTTTAAAGATATTCAGCCTTTTAACTGATTTATTATCTTAAAATTTAAAGATATTCAATTTACTCATGGTGTAAAAGGGATTACTCGTAGTTATTCGACCAAAAGCGTCGATTAATCGAGTCAAAATTACTCATGCAAGTAATTACTCATGCAAATTTTACTCGACTAATTACCTCCTCGCAAGGAACACACTCTAATATCAAGTAAATTTGCATTAGAGAAACAAAAAGAAGCTTGAAAAATGCTAACTTGTAACTGCTATTGGATAAAGTGATAAAGATTTGATTATAAAAATCATTCAATGATCAGTAACAACATATCCAATGTTCAGTTCAATAGAAGCAGTTCAATAGAATCAAAGGAACAAGTTCAGCCTTCAAAGACAAATCCGAACCGCTCTCGGAAACAAATACAGCGACTGGTCAGTCGCAAAAAGCACCCACTCGTCAACAATACCTGAGTTACAAAAAAGATAAAGCCTTGTTGTTTTGACAAGAGAGTGAGGTGAGGCACCAAAAAAAAAACGAGAATAACAATTAAAGGCGGGTGCATGCAATGTGAGAAAAGAGAAGGCAGAAAAAGAGGCGACGCGGCTTCGCGATGCGTCTCCGCCATGCACACATCTCTCTTTTTCTCTACAAAATCTTACTATTTCCGTCTTTTCCCCCAATGACCCCGGCCGATCCCCACTGGGCAGCCATTTTTTCTGACCCTCTCCCCTCTTTTTTACCCGAGCATGTGTGAGCACTTTGTTTGCCTTTGCTTCAGTTAGATCAATCTTTTTACTCTCTACCATTTCCGCAGTGTTTCAACCAGTCACCCATTCTCTGCGTTTCTCCCATTTCTCCCGCAATTCTTTCGTTATTCAGGAAACGCTACGCAGCCATCCGCCCATTACCCCTCTCGGCCCCTCCGCGCTCTTCTCATGCCCCGGCAGTGATCAATAACATGTTGCTAATCCGGCACTGATTTTATCATCAATCCTTTTGTAGCTTTGGCTTTCCCTTTTTGAGCTGATTTGACGGGAAATTTCTTAAAGCTTCTATTTGACACGATTACTTTTTACCTATTAGTGCATTTTTTACGAACTTTTTTCCGACATGAATTGACTTGTTTGATGCAATTGCTTTGAGACTTGTAAAACAAATTCTTTGGCAAGTAAAGAAACTTTACGGTTTTGAGTCTTCCGTCATAATCGTTAGTTTGCAAAATCTTTCCAACTATTGAATCAACCCTTTTTCAAGAATCATTTCTGCTCGACTAGTCATAAATTAATGACTTGTCATATAAGAAATGTTTCTCAAATTAGAATGAATCTGCCCATCAGAAAGCAAGCAAGAATAAAACATCACTTGCAAAGATTGCAATTCGTTAGGCCATCCTCAATGATGATACTACACAATGGCTCAATTATCGTACTATATTCTGTCAAATTAACCATGATCATTTTAAGACGGATTACTACATTTTGTGCCAAGCCAGTTTTGCCTTTGCTTCAAGGGTACATGAATTTGATCAGGCTCATGCCAGAGCCGAACCAAAATCGGTTCTGCATGCTTATAGGATCTTTGTAAAGTCAAGCATTGCATGTATCTTTGCGCCAATTCTCGTGCCAAAGCAAGTAACGCCGGCTGGGCATGTAACAATGAAATGCTCATATTGAAGTAATCAAACAAAAACTTGCTGTCTTGTCTCATACCAGAGCCATTTTTCTAAAATTATTGTATTAATAATGTTCCAAAGTAAAAGCAAAATAGGCTCAGCACAAAAATGTATCAATCCATCTTCAAATGGGGGTGGCTACTTTGCGTCAAAACTTTTGCGCAACTCGCCAAAACTTTCTGTTAAGTGGGCCAATCTTTATGATTTTGGTGTCATTTTGTTGCACTTGTTGAGATCTACAAAACCACACAAAAATTCTAAAGGTTGACCTGGTTAGAAGTAAGTTATAGCGAGTTAGGGTAAAAATTTGGCGCAAAGTAGCCGCCCCTCAAATGATCGTTGTCAAATCTCCATGTGCTCTTGTAAAGAGTTGCTTGCGTAGCTGCCCGTCCTCTGAGTATCGCCGATTTAACGCTATAAAACAAAAGGCAATTCAAGTATCGGCCCAGAAACATTTTCATGACCAGTTTTGGGTAGCTTACGTCTAAATGTGTTAGCTTATCTTTAAACCCCCTGAAGCTTTCTGATCAATCACATTTTTTGCGTGATTCACTACCATAAAAAGCTTAAAATAAATAGAGCATTAAAAATGATGAACACATGTATCCCTGCAGTTTCAATCCATTTCTCCCCTCCTTTTTATAGCAAATAACATTTTTCTTATCTCTTTCTTTCACACACTGTTTTCTTCGTTTCAATTTCATTGCTCAGCATTTCATTTTAGAATCGACCTCACGATGCGTAATGAATCACCTGCTGTCGAGATTTCCACCGAGGAATTGGAGGTTTGTTTTGTTTTTAGTAATGTAGAATCGGCACTTTTCTATCGGCTTTCATCGAAATTCATTTGTTCTTTTAGGAGGGACTCTCCGCGGAGAAGCAACAAGAACAACAATTGATGAGCAAACTGCAGAATCAAGGGAAGCTGCCTGCTCGACCGGCCTCAAATTTTTTGCAGAAGAAACTTCAACAGCGCGTATGTTACCTTTTAAGTTAAAATGTTGACAACTTGTAGGATGAAATGTACTATTGAACATGCGTAACAACTTGTAGGATTGGATTGAATTACTTTTATTCAGAATTTAAATTCAACCATTAATAGTTGGAATAAAATACAGAACTATCTAGCTAGCGGGCCGTTTGTAAATAAAGTGTTTTAAAGCATCACTTTGTTAATTTGTTAATTCTAGAAGTTCTTCGACTCGGGCGACTATGCGATGGACAAAAGCAAGCAAGCGGCTGCCGGCCCACCAAAGCCTCATCCTCTAGCTGCGCCAAATCAGCCTATACCTAAACCCAAGGTCCGTTTTTGTATTTGGAGGCGGTTACTTTTTGAGTTTTAGGTCGTTTCACCAATCGGACCGCCACCCAAGTCACCAGAACCGTCGGATGTGCTAGAAGAAGGACTCACCATTCCACGACCCGACAATGTGCCACAACGAAAGGTTATTTTTGGAACTATCGCGGGCTTGATTAAATCAAGTCTCCTACGATGCCGAACTCGTTTTTGTACAAATATTAAAATTTCGCCTTACTGATTTGATTTATTGGTGCATATTTCAGGCGTCGATCATCAATCCGGGAATGCACTCAAAACTTTCACCACAACCACTCATCCATCACGAGAGCCATTCGGAGATGCCAGAAGTCTAGAAGGGATACGTGCAACACAAAAATGAGCTTTTTTGGTCTTGTATATCTTTCACATCTGTTTCCTATTGTGGGTTTTCTCTTTTTTTTTCCGAGTGACAATTTTTGTTTGTAATTCCTACTGATCAGTTTTTACACAAAAATGGGTTTGAACGTTTTCTTGAATACCACACATATCTCTGTCAGCAAATGTTTTCTCTCTCTCTTGTTTCATTATATTACTCACTACTGCTTAACCAGATACACAGTCCCTTTGATCTATTTTGTGATTCCAAAAAACTTTCGATGATCCAATATTTCCTTAAAATTTCTGTTTTATGGAGCAAACGCCATAGAATTTGAGCGCTTTTTGAACAGATCAGGGTAGGTTTTTCTGTGCAAGTTTTTTTTGGCTCTGTATTTATCGAAAGAATAAACTTAACCGTGTGTTGTGAATAAAAATTGGTTACTTTTTGGAGACAATTACCCATCTTGGTTCTGCGTACAATTACCTTTCTGTGTAAAGAGATTACCGGGTTGCATTTAAGTTGCAGTTGCATAAAAAGATTTTATACAGGTTTCGCGCTAAACTTGTGTTGTAATGGGAAAATCGATATGCTTGTGGAAAATATTTGCGAATTGTTAGTTGTCAGCGTGTCGATTAGTACGAAAAGAGAGCGTGTAAAACTAGATCCTTTTTGGCGACATCTTTGTTGAGACTTGATGTCTTTTGGTTTCTCGTGTACACTATTGATCAACCCGCTCACTTTCGATTTCCCCATTTCCCCGCTTTTGCTTCTTTGTTCCAAGTATAAACATAACGATTTTTTTCAGCCTTTTTTCAATTTGATTTTTTTTTTTCAGATACGAAATGTCGTCGGAGTATGTTTCGATCGAGGACACTGACAAACTAAATCAGTGGCTTATAACAGAACTTGGACCAATGTGAGTGAATTAATTCAATTAGAAAGTTAAAGGTTTCATTTTGATTTTTTGATTTGAGTTAAAGATTTTTGAAACCGTAGCTTGTGTCTAATTTGCAACCAAAATCCATTTCGAAAGAATAAAGTTCCACGATGAAATGGAGAGTTGAACTATTTTAGTTGTATACAAGCCTTATTTTAAATTTTAGCTGCGAAGCTGATCCGGCTCAACTTTCAAAATATGTTTTTGCGCTCATCAAAAAGCCTGACAAAACGAAGACCCAATTGAAGGAATTTTGCAACGGTCAACTTGAAGCTTTTCTCTCAACTAGTGAGTAGTAAAATTTTGTGATCATCAAAGTTTATTTCTAGATACGAAGCCATTTGTCGACAAGCTATTCGACGTGTTGTCGGATAACTCGTATGTCCGCCCAAAAGCAAAGAAGGAACCACCGCCAGCACCATCATCAAAAGTTGAAGAGCCAAAGGAAAAATTGAAACGTGGAAAGGAAAACGAAAAGAAAAATGAGGATGAGCCGGTGGAAAAGCGAAAAACGGTAAATTAAAGGTTGTAAGCCCTTTTAAGTGAATAGTTGTAGAACTCGCCTAAACGCGAAGTTTCGCCAAAGGGTGGCCGTGCTCTTCGTGGACAAAATGCAGCGGCATCAATTAGCCCTCCTGAAGAACAAGTTTCAAGGTTTGTGAGAAGGGTTTTTGTCTAAACATACAGGGGCTTTATAGTAGGTACTTTGCTAGTAAATCAGCAAAATCGTTGTCTGAATTCGAAATTAAAAAGAGCTTAGACGTAAATAATAATTAAAATTTTGTTGCTAGTTTGTTATTTTTTTTGTTTAGCGCTGAGAAGTTGGGATCGAGCGCTGAAACTTCTCAAAAAGTATCACAGCCACAAAGGATCGTCAGAAAACGCATTAGCCCTCCGCCACCTGTAAGTACTTAAGATAAAAATTAAGAGCTGAAATTTTTGAACCTTTTATAAAGTTGCTTCTTCAGGACGAAAAGGAATTACGCCGTCGACGTTCTCGATCGCCACCTCGTCGTGGAGGACTTCGGCGCCGATCACCAGAAAGGATCGTTCGGCGAAGATCGCGTTCACGTAGCGCTGATCGGAAAGATGAACGAAAGAAGAAACAGCGCTGCCGTGATTATGATGGTAAGACGGATATTCTTTGCTGAAGTTTCAAGTTTTTAGAACAAGGCTTTTGCATGCGCGGCGATGCTTGTCAATTTGACCATGGACCTGACCCAGTAGTCATCGATGAGAAAGGCTGGAAGTCTTCGTCAAAAGGAATCATCACAAAGCCACCCAGCTTCCCAACTGCACCGCCAAACTTCAATCTTCCACCACCAGGATACACTCCCATTGGAGCCGCACAACCACCACCACCCGGCATTGTTGCTGATGGAGGTAGAAATGCACGAGAATTTGATTGTTGAAGACATTTTTTAGGCTATAATCCTGACGCTCCTGCAATGTCGTTGGACTTCTCGGTGCCACCACCATCCTTGGTAATGAACGCTGGATGGCGGCCAAATATTCAATTTGGTATGCAACAACAAGGGGTAAGAATGCAGTAAAATTCGCTCACCTTTTAACATTTTAGCAAATGCTTGAAACTGGTCCTCGCGCTGATAGGGGTTATGATGGTCCTAGAGGTCGTGGCGCTTGGGGTGGACGAGGGCGTGGTGGTCGAGGCGGAAATCGAATGCTGCCACGTGTTCGGAATGACGTTGGAAAAAGTCTGGAGGTTAGTTTTGTCAATTAAATTTTTTATGATGTTTTTAGGTCCGTAACATCCCTGCCGAATTGAACAACATTTTGAAGTTGAATGAGCACTTCATGCAATTTGGTGCAATTGTTAATTTGCAGGTTTGCTGTCTTTTTGATTATTCTTAATGCCCTTGTTTAGGTTCATTTCCAAGGAGATCCAGGTGCTGCTTTGGTCACGTATTCTTCACGTGGAGAAGCAACGAATGCCTACAAGTCAACGAATCCTATTCTTAACAATCGCTTCATCAAAGTTTTCTGGCATAATCCACCAGAAGCTGCTAATGGAGAGCCAACTACGGTATGGTACTTTAAAACTAGTGAAATTTCAAGACAAAAAATACTTAGCAACAACGTTTGTTTAGGCTAATGCTGCTACGGGACAAGCTGGAGTACCTGTTTCGGTTGGAGCTGATGGCGAGAAAGCGGCGGCATCTGCTTCTCAACCATCAGAGACTAAACCGGCTTCGCCAAAGAAGACTGAGGTTTTGATTAAAAAAGTTTCTCTTTTGTATAAATTTGTTGAGGTGGTTACTCGAGCTCAAGCTGTGTTCCGAAATGAGAAATTCGAGGAGGAAATGAAGAAAAAGGTTGCCGACCGGGAAGCTCGTAAGAGAGATAAGGTAAGTTAAAAAATTTGAGTGGTATATGTACCTATGTTTGTTTAGGTTCAACTCGCCAATTTGCAACAAATGCAGAAAAAGAAGACAGAACTGGTACAGAAGCTACTCACACAACAAAAAGCCGCTTTCGAGTTAGCTAAAAAGGTAAATATTTCTGGTTTTTATTTTCTCAAAATTCTATTATTAGGCGACATCCGATGAACCAAAGAAGAAAGCGCTGAAGTTAGTGGCCAAGTTAAAGAAACAAATTGACACATTACGTGATGAGGTAACTTCAAGAATTTGTGCTAATGGTAAACGAATTTTAGCAAAAGCAAGCAACTGAAAAGATTGAAGAGCTCCAACAAAAGCGTGTCGAAGAAGAGGAAGCTGCAAAGAAGGCTGCTGAGGCATCGAAGGCTCCAATAACAGCTGATGAGTCGGTCGAAAGCACGGCCTCACAAGATGCAGGTATCTATTGCCATCATATAGAAGAAACATGTTAGTATTGCTTATTTTTAAACTGGTAGTGTATAATAACAAATATATAACTATGAGAAAAATAAGATTAATGATAACAATAATAGTTTCTTTCAGATAAAGTTGGTAAAGATGGCAAAACTCTCATCATTCGTGGCTTCGACTCAAATGACAACATTGATGAACTGGTAAGGGTTTTTAAAGTAGAGCACCAACAACATATTTTCGTTTAGCGACTCACTTTGGAAATTGGCGGCCTAAACCCAGCTAGCTTTGAGGTGATTCAACTTGGAAAGGATGCAAAGGCGTTGGGAACTTATGAAACGCCCGAAAAAGCACGACAGGTAGGCAATTGTTAACTTTTAAAAAACTGGTGCCTTTAGGCAGTGATCACAAAGAATATCGTGCATGAAGGTCGTCGCGTTCGATTCGGTTGGCCAACGCAAAGCGAGCTCGATCAAAAGGCGCTGCCGACTACCGAGGATATTGTTGCTACACTCGGTCAGCAATCGGATGTGAGGATTTGACTTAACCAACATTTTAAGCAAACTAAGTACATGGCATTTAAAATTAAAAATTTGTCAATAAAGAGTTGAACAATAAATTTCTTTAGTCCGAGACGGAAGAGCCTGTTGTCTAGATGTCCATCTCATCTCTTCACTTGAACGATAGAGTTTAGTGTGTTTGTTTCGTTTTTTAAAGACTTTATTTTAAACTTGTTTTTCGTTGTCTTGTTACCTCAATTTTATAAGTTTAAATAATATTTAATGTTCTATTTAAATTGGACATATATCACATTCTTTTGTTGGGTTCTCTCATTTGTTTTTCGTGTATGTGATTTTGTTTTGCGACAAAAGATTAGAGCAAAAGATCAAGCTCTTTATATACGATAAACATACGGTGATCAAAGAAAACAATGAAATTGCTAAAGAGAAAAAAAAATAGTTGAGCCAATAAAAGAGCCATTTTGCAGGCCAATTGAGAAGAAGCTCACTGAAATTATTGGAAATTTTTGCATTCTCATTTCAAATTTCAGGTTACTTATTATCGGTTCCATGCACACGCATTACGGGTAACATAGTTTTTGGTTATTAAAATTTTATCGAATTTTGTTTTCGCTTCTAAAGCTGGATCAAGACACAAGCATTTCAGTCACACTTCAAGAATCTAGATATTAGGACAAAACAAGTCTCCTTCCGGACATTGATGAGTGCTTCGTGACAAAGACAAACTTGATTGGAACAGCTGTAAACGGGAAAACCCGACTTTGCAGACAAACAGGCTAGACTTTGAAAGCTTTCAAGTTCATGCATCAATTAACACTGACATCACACTGACATTCCGGCCTTGTCCGATAATTAGCACAAGGTACAAAGTATGCAAATTTTATCGGAAAATTAAACTGTGCCCTTTTTTCTCTTTTTTCTTGACTACCGTAATCTTGTTTTTTTGCATAGTACTCATTACCGTGGTCGCAGTCCTAGTTAAATTCTCCGATATGCTTTTGTACCATCAAGCACAAGAGTCAATTGCTGGTGTTCGGGAAACTTTTCGCTTTGTTCTTGAACTATTTGGCAAGCGGAGAAAGAAATGGATCCGCGGGAAAGAGGAAGAGATCAAAAATTGGGAGTGGTGATAATGAGAAGGGTAGACCCTGCCCAGGTCCTCTACCCCTCCACCCTACCCACCCTCCCCCCCTTTTTGTAGTCTATAGCCAACGAGACTCCAGGTAGCCAGATAATGCGAAATACACGGTCATCCCACGAGACGCAGACACTTTTGGGATCTGTTGCCTGGCGCCGTGAATTGATCGAGAGCAGGCAGCAACGAGCACTCCGACTACAACTCTCACATTCAACAACCAACCAGCGGTCTTCCTACAACTACCGTACGATTCAGAGTACTGTAATCGATACCGGAACACTGGAAACGATGGACCTTGGTGGGTGATGGGTTTCAACGAAATTTTGAGCTTTTTTGTGCTCTTCTTTTAGTGATTGTAGGATGAATGTAGTTTAGTTTGTGATCAAACTCAAGAAAACAATCTCCTTGTTTTCTGGTGTCCTTGTAGTTGGAGCTTTTCAAACGTTTTTTCGATCTCTTTTTCTGTAATGGCCTATTTCAGTCGATCCTTTGGCTGAGCCGTGTGCGGTGTGTGGAGACAAATCGACCGGGACACATTATGGAGTGGTGTCGTGTAATGGATGCAAGGTTTGTTTTTGAGAAGTCAAAATTTTATTTTTATTTTCTAAGTCTATTTTTCTATCGAAATATTATTGTTCTATTTGCTTGGAAGAGTATGCGGACATACGCTCTTACCAGCCTGGTCCTGGCTCTTGCAAGCCTGGTCCTGACTCTTACAAGCCTGGTCCTGGCTCTTGCAAGCTCTGGTCCTGGCTCTTGCAAGCCTGGTCCTGGCTCTTGCTGACTTACAAAATACAGGACTACGTCTGGGCTAGGTCAGTACCAGGTCCGGACCAGGTCAGGACCAGGCTTGGTTGTTCAACAAAAATTTCAAGGCCAGGGCCAGGTCGTTTAGCAAAAAGATAAAATCTATTGTAATCTAGCAGAGAAAAGAAATCTACCTTAATCTAGCAAAAAGAAGAAAACTATTGTGACCTAGAAGATAAACCTTATCGTTAGCCTGGCAATGGCCTGACCCTGGCTTTGAAATTTTGGCCTTATTATATATTAAGACCAGCCTTGACCCTAACCGTTTTAAGCAAAATACTCAGCTATCTCTTTTTAAAATATTCTATCCATATTTATTTCTAAAATAGCTTGTAGCTCGTAAGCTTGAAAAATGATCGTGGAATTGTCTTTGGGTGTACTTTTCTCACTTTACATTGCGTAAAGATACACTTTCTGGCATACTGAATTAGCTGCAATATTTATGTAAATCCTTTGCCAGTCTTCATATAGAATTTTGTGCTTGATTCTGCAAATAAATCCTTCCTGAGTTCGTCACTTTTCTCACACTTTTTCTCGGTTTCCAGCTCTTGAGAAGAAAAATTCAGTGTGCTAGAAAAGATGCGTTTATGGAGCTAAAAATGCACAATAGATGTATCGATGCATAAAATGTTCTTCATTGCAGGGTTTCTTCCGTCGAACGATCCTCCGCAATCAAAAATTCACCTGTCGTTTCAATAAGAAATGCGTGATCGACAAGAATTTTCGATGCGCTTGCCGGTTTGTTTTGCTTTTAAAACTAAGATCTAAGCTTTTAAGACTACAATAAGCTTCAAGACTATTTTAGGACTACAGTTTACGACTAACCCGTACATTTCAGGTACTGCCGATTCCAGAAATGCGTTCAAGTCGGCATGAAGAGAGAGGGTGAGTTGGCGCTTGGATATAGGAGCACTAATCCTATTTCTAAACTTTTGGAATCTAAATTTAAATCATATTTATTATTAGATAGAGCTTTTATCTACCAAAGTTGAATACTTTGCCTTTTAACCGATAGAGCAGACGTAATTACGGAATGTCGCGCTTGCGCACAGATAGACAGATAGACGGACATACAGACGGACAGACAGACAGACAGACGGACAGACAGACGGGCAGACAGACGTCTCTTTTGCTTTATATCTGAAGGGGAGTAATTCTCGCTGATACCACGGCGGTACCGTTTTTCCAAAAAGTGAAACAGTTCCCTAGTCAGCTTTGTCAAAGTCAAACTACTGTATCCTTTCCCATGAAATCATCAAATCCTGTTATTTTCGTCAAATTTCTTCTTCTGTTTTCTGACTTCTCTAGTTCTCTAGTGAAATTCTCCATTGCAAGCTCTTTCCTCTGTCATTTTGGGGGACTTTTTACGAATTGATAAGGGGAATTTGGAGGTGATTCATCAAAATTTATCGTTTATTTGATCACTAGATTGATTAGGGGAAATCTGAAGGGAAATTTGAGGTTCTGAACGGTTTTTGGAAGTTCTTGTGAAATTCGGTGTTGGAAATAGTGGAAATAGAGGTAAAACGAAGTGGCGATTGAGCTATGAGGACAACCATGTATCCATGACTTCTGTTACCGTACTCCAGTTATAGTACTCCAGTTATAGTACTTCGGTTATAGTACTTCGGTTATAGTACTTCGGTTACAGTACTTCGGTTACAGTACTCCAGATACCGTATTCCAGCTACAGTACTCCAGTTAAAGTCCATCACATTACGGAAATATCCTTTTAACGAAGATATGTTCCTTTCAGTTAGTGCGTTTTCTTTGCCAGCTCTTTTCTTTGCCGTCTTTTTCCGGCCCCCTCCCATGGCCGCATTAGCTCAGTTGGTAGAGCGTCAGACTTTTACGAAACGGAAGCAATCTGAATGTCAGGGGTTCGAGCCCCCTATGCGGCTAATCACTTTTTCCTTTTTCGCATCTAAAGCAATGAAAATTTTTTTGAGTTTTCTAAAGCGTGCCAACTTTTGGAAACCACCGTAACCTTACCATTAGTCTTTAACATCGGCATTATAAATTAGGCATTATAAAGTGGCTATAACTACCGTAACCCAGCCCAGGTCTTTCTATATCTCTGTTATCTCATCTTTCATTCTCAACCCTTTCTTCCTTTCTCCAACAAAATTCAACTGTGCGGCCTGATCGAGATTTTCAGCAAAACGTGGTTTTTATGTTTTTCTTTAGGAATGGTTCTCGTCCGATTCCTATTCGGTTCCTATTCAAAAAAAATCAAAGAAATACCTTTTAGGCATACAAAAGAAGTATCCAAATGCCCAAGCACAGGCTTTATTAGGGAATTCTTTTGATATTTCATTTACTCGTAAAATGTACAAAAGAGTATGCAATTCCCAAATCTCGATTCTCAATAAATGAAAGAATCATTTTCAAATTTAATCTTGATTAATTAACCCTCAACTCTTGCCCTTTCTCCTCTCAATTTCTAGTTTATTACAAATATTTTTTTGATCCGTGAAATTTTCAACTCACATTCATTTCTCATTCCCCAAAGAGACTCATTTCTCGAAGCGTTTACATTCCACGGGATCTTTGGCTCTTTTCTCGGCGGATTACCGTAATCTTTGAGATATTTTGGGATTAAATTTCTTTTGATTGAAAAAAATTACGTGGGTGGGTGCCTTTTCGGGACTTTCCTGTGCAACAAATTCATCGATTAAAGGGGTTTTAAAATGGAATTAGAGAAATGAGAGAGAGAAAAGTTTCTCTTCACTTGTCACCTGTGCACCAGGAAGTGTATTTTTTGGCAACAACCAATTTTGGCCTCACTGTTCCCCAACAGTGAGGCCAAAAATGGTTGTTGCCAAAAAATACACTTCCTGGTGCACTAAATTCCTTTATTTTTTTTGGAAAATGAGTTGTTAATGAAGAGTACAGTGCACTAGGACAAGTGCGTTTAGATGTGAGCACAAAGTATGCCAGGGAACAAGTGTACTGTAGAGACAGAACATAACGAGTTTGAGCACGTTGCTCAATGTCGTTATGCTCAATGGCCGATATAACTATTTTGAAAGGGGTAGAGGGCTAAATTTTGAATATTCAATAAGATCTCATATCTGTTAATTGATTAGAGCGCGTTGGTATTGAATTTAGCCCTTCATTCACCAAGGAATGAAAAAAAGGCTTTCGTATGAATGCTTTCATCAATGCACAATCGTTAGAGCCATTAATCCTTGTAAAGCTTGAATGAATAATCCTTTTAAACGTCCACAAGATTGTACTTTTGGTTTACCATAGTAAAAGGTAGATTGGCGGGGCATAACGGTATTGATGGACAGAAAAAGATGGGGAGGTATAACGGTAAATCGCTGACGGTAAAGTTGACGCGAATTTGACGGTAAAGTAACTTTTTGGTCTACTTCGTGTTCACAATTTGCAAGCGCACATTTTCTGGTGCACTTGATTTGGCAGCTTTCTTGAATCAGCAATTTTTCACGAGACGAAAAAAAGAGGATTTCAGTGCACTAGAAAGTGCATTTAAAAAGCTGAGTACAAAGTAGACCTCAAGTTGAGTGCAAGTACAAAGTAAACCTCAAGTTGAGTACAAGTACAAAGTACACCCCAAGCGATAATCTAAAGGAGCTGGAACTCGAAACTGAAACAAATCCAAGTAAAAACAAATCAACTCAATTCACCTCTCAAATTTCAGCGATTCAATTCGAGCGCGACTCGATCGGCTCCCCGAAGAAACCCCGTCCAAACACTCCGCCATCAAATCACTCGATTCCAATTCCCGATGTGAATCGACAGGTGAGAAAAAGAATTGCATAGAATACTAGAATACAATACAATAGAAATGAGGGAATTTTGAGATGAGTTGGATGATTTTTGCTAAAAAGTGACTCGACTCGATTACTTTTTTGTTTTTTTATAATGGACTTGACCCAAAAATAGGACAAGCGGAAAATTGAAGGCGCTGACTGAAAAAAGAGTCGCTAACATGGTTAACGTACAGTATAATACTTACCGTACTCTAATAGAAGCTCTAATACTCTAATAGAAGCTCCCTGTAGGAGCGTCGCGTAGTCTAAGTTTCGACTGTTTGTTTGAGAGTAAACTTAGACTTAGCTCTCTTGGGGGCTTCTATTAGAGTATTTACAGTGTAATTAGTCGGCTAATGACTCATTTTTTAGGCTGCAAAAGACGTGATCGATCAGCTGATGGATATGGAACAAAGAGTGAATATGGTTGGTTTGATAAACGTTTCCTAAACCGTGTCTCTTTCTATCGTAATCTTGTCTTTATTTTTATCCAATATTCCTCCTTGTCTTTGAGGGTTTAAAAAGAATGTTGAAAGATAGAAAAAGTGAATAGATTGGATGAAAAAATAGAGACAAGTTTACGGTAGAAAGAGAAAGGCGACATGTTTGATCATAGATCAAAGCAAACAAGGTCAAGTCAGCGGTTATTGGACATTTGATGCGCGGGTCCCTTTTGCCATTGGCAATTTAACTTTAAGCTCAAATATCTTGGTGTTGGATTGTCCAATTTAAAGGTCCTTGACATCATTCGATGCGCCAAGTCTTTCTCTATCGATTGGTACAAAAACTATTCAAATTGAACGACCCGAAGCCAAGAAATTTCTATTGAACAACCCAACACCAAGAACGGTTTAAGGAAACAGTTGTGAGTGAGGCATTCACAGACATAGAATTGGTTCCTTTACCCTTCGTTTGTTGTTGGGAAAGATAGATAAGATTTTCAAGTACATAGAATCAAGCTACAAACACTTAAATGGCATTGCAAAACTTTGAAAATGACAATTTTTTACGCATCTTCTGCAATTGAAGGTGAAGATATTCCGCCAGATAGAGCTTTGATTCTTTCGATGAACGCGAAGAAATCTTCATGTACTTTCTCTTCTTCTTTTTCTTTCTTTTTCTTTTTTTTTCTTTCTTTTTCTCCATCCAAATCTCGCTATTTACTATCAGAAAATGGTACTTTTTTACACTACAAAATACTACTCGAATTTTCTTTTGATAGTATTTCGAGATTTCCTAATCCTTTCACAAGAGCCATCTTCACTTAAATTTCTTTCTTTTTATGATCATTTGAAATTTTTATTATATATCTACCATAGCTAACACTTTTTACGGTACAAAAAACAGATTGTGGGACATTTGATGCGCTCGCCTCTTTTGCCATTGGCAATCCAACTTTGAGCTCAAACATCTTCACTTTGGGTTGTTCAATTTAAATAGTTTTTGCACCAATCGATAGAGAAAGACTTGGCGCATCGAATGATGTCAAGAATATTTAAATTAAACAACCCAAACCCAAGATATCTGAGCTCAAAGTTAGATTGCCAGTGTCCCCAAAAATCTTGGTGTTATGCTGTCCAATTTAAATGTTCTTTGCATCATTAGATGTGCCAAGTCTTTCTCTATCGATTGGTATAAAAACTATTTAAATTGAACGATCCGAAGCCAAGAGATTTGAGTTTAAAGTCAGATCGCCAATGGCAAGGGCGTTGGGGCGCGTATAAAAGGTCGCACAAGCCCGTGTATTAAATGTCCGATAACCTAAAATACATCTGCCGTTTCGATATGAATATACTCGCTACAGTACACTCAACTTATGCCCGAGCCTAACTAGAGAAGATCTAAATTTTGAAGAGCTAAACAACAAGTGTTTCTGAGGAATTTTGATCATATGATATGAGATTTTGCTAGCTAAAAGTTGACAAAAAAATAACTTTTAGACGACCTTCCAATTACGGTTTTATTGATATTATATTTAGAAACTGAGATCTCACCAGTCATCAAGCTATTTTCTTACTATTGCCAAATTTTTAGGAAATGTGCTCTCGCTACAGAAATTCGATGATCGGACAAGGGGAGATTCAGGAGATCGGTGAGTTGTATTGGATTGGATTAAATTGGATTAAAAGCTGTAAAAAAGCTGGAAACAACGCTAATATAATAAGATAATTTCTAGCCGAGGGCTCAGCTTTCTCACAACCGCAACGCCCGTGCACAATCGATGAATTGAATGAAATCAGTCGGACAACACTTTTGTTGATGGTTGGTTATGGCTTATCGAAATCGAACAGTCCTTGTAGCCTGTAGCAAGGCTAGACAACGGTTAGAAGCCAGATCCAGGACATGTGGAAATAAGCTTGAGTTGCTTGAGTTCTTCCACAAGTTCGGACAAGTTCGGACAAGTTCGGACCACTGTAGAGGGTTACTGTACTGCCTAGATTGTTCTGGTCGAGCTTCTGGATCGGCCTAGGTACTTTTTGTGGGCCGGGTTAGACCAACAATGAGTCAATTATTTCATGGAATAGCCATTTACCTGCCAAATTTCAGGTAGAATGGGCGAAGAATCTGGCTCCATTCCCGGATCTCTCAATGGATGACAAGATCATTTTGTTGAAGAACTACGCCCCACAACATCTCATTTTGATGCCAGCTTTCAGGAGGTGAATTTATTATTGGACTCAGTTTTTCAAAGTGTTATTCTTTCAAATTTCAGTCCGGATACAACGCGTGTCTGCCTTTTCAACAACACTTATATGAGTCGAGAACAAGGCGCTGGACAGAGCGGCGAATTGGGAGGGTTTGCCGCCTTCAAAACGAGCAATATCACGCCAAGGGTCAGTGCTGGATTAGCTATCTAGATCTATAAAAAATAAAATCTCCGTCACACTTTTGGTGGACCTGCTGGTCACCCAAAAATGTGACGGAAATGACCCTCAAAACCAGAAACTACACCAAAATACAAGACTTTTTTTATTTTGGCACTTTTTATTTGGCTTAGCCGTTTTTCTAAAATCGTGCCCTTGGAAATTCGAAGCTAAAATCGAGACCTCACCGCGGCCCCTTTTTGCGGTGCGAGCAGTTATTAGGTCGCCCGCCTCGTAGGCTAAAAACAGGACGGCATGGCCGAGTGTGTACCCCGCCCTCTCTAAGCCCGCCGCCCGAGTGAAGGGCTCGGGTTCGACTCTTGCCAGAGTTCTTTCACATTTTTAGTTTTGATGGAAACACACCAACGCTGGGCTGGATAGAAGGCCTTTGATCATAAAGCAACGTTGAGTGCTGATAAGAGCCGCCGTGAGGTGGCTCTTATCAGCTTATCAACTGATAAGAGACTTATCAGTTTATCAAATATATAAAAATTCTTGATAACACTAATTCTTGTACTAATTCTACTAAGAGTACTAATTCTTGATAACACTTTGTGTTTTTTGTTTCATCAAAGAGCAAACCATAGCTTCTTATAAATTTTTAATTTGATAATCAGACACGCATTGCCTAGCGTGGATGCCTAGCTTTGATGCCTAGCTTTGATGCCTAGCTTTGATGCCTAGCTTTGATGCCTAGCATTGATGCCTAGCATGTCTAGCATCCCGATCTAATGGCTTCGCTCCATGCAGGAGGCTTTTGTTTGCATTTTAAGGCTGAAAGACTATTGGACTCAAGATTATTGGACTTTTTAACAGGAAAGAACATTTCCTTGAATTAAACATGGGATTAACTTTGAATAAATCTTGAAAAAGAGGGACAAGTTGCTTGCCATTTACAATTTTGAAACATTTTATTAAATCCATGACCAAGCGGCCGTGCCTAGGGGATTTAAGAGCAAAAATTTTGAGTCTATCAGTGTAACAAGAGAAATATACCAAAATACTGATTCAAAATTGTCTAAAACCGGAAGAATATCTCTTTCAGGTACTCGATGAGATCGTTTGGCCGATGCGTCAACTGAACATGAAGGAACCAGAGTTTGTCTGCCTGAAAGCGCTCGCTTTTCTCCATCCTGAGGCAAAGGTAGCACTTTGTACGATCAATTGTATGTGCTTTGTAGTCTTTTGTTTGTTGTTTGTTGTTTGTAGTATGTAAATTTGAAACACAAACACACACACACACACACACTTTCTGGTGCACGCCGTTCTTCTATTTATGCAGCTTGAAAAACGAAGAATTGCGTGCGCCAGGAATGACCCTTTTTCAGTCTATTTTAAATACAAATTAAAGACAAATGCAAATTAAAGATAAATGCAAATTGCAATTCGCATTTACAACTATCTTTCCAGGGACTCTCCGCACAAACACAGACGATGATTCGTGACGCGCGGAATCGTGTCCTCAAAGCTCTCTATTCGTTCATTTTGGACAATTTTCCCGAAGAAGCGCCGACGAGGTTTGTGCAAAATTATCCAGAATATAGCAAGCTATATGTAAATTGTTTGAGGATTGCGGAAAAGTGTTAAGTTGCGTAGTTTTTGCCTTTTAGCCTAAATTTGACCTGTCAGTAAGGTGTGATTTGTCGAAATTCGGAATCTACGCATACGATTCCTTAAATGGAAACATTTTGCCCCTCTACGGCCTTTTCTAGAGCAAAAGTTTTGACCAAGTCCGGGCTCGAACTACTCCTTACGCTCTCAAAGAGTTGAGACCCTAGCGCACTAACCACTTGGCCACGACAAGACATCTCTGAAGGACGCTAGCGGATACTCGCGCGGTCAGAGAATTAGCGCAACACGCAGAAACTCTTTTTTTACACACAAACTTTAAACGATCGAGGAAATTTGAACGCATTACACACAAAAGACTTAGATATTCGGAATCAGCAAAAAATTAGCTACAAAATAGGCTAGATTCCACTTCGAAACTCGATAGTAAATAAACAATGATTCCTAGTTAGGAAAGGCCGATAGGAAAGGCAAAAATGTTTCCATATACACTACTGGACAGCGAAATATCATATTTGAAAAAAGATCGTCACTTTCGCGCGTCTGTAACTCCCTTGGCTTTACCGTATTTCTAAATATTAATATTATAATTGTGTAGCCCTTGAAAAGAGCTTTCAGAAAATGTATAACACTAATAGTTTAAACTCAAAGACAAGGGAGTTGCAGACGCGCGAAAGTGACGATCGTTTTTCAAATATGATATTTCATTGTCCGGTACTGTATATGTTACGTCCGATCTAGACTGATTCTAAATAGGACGTCCGATCTAGAATCAAGCCGCTCTAGAATCAAGCCGATCACTCTAAAACTAAGTCTGGTTCGGACGTTTTTTTGGAGCTCGGATTTAGAGTGACCCGTTTGGTTCTAGATCGGACGTTTGACCTCACTTCACTCTAGATCCCACGTCCGATCTAGAATCAGTTCTAGATCGGACGGATTTCTAGATCAGACGGCTTTCTAGATCTCTTTTCTAGAGCATCCTATGCGTAGATTCCGGATTTCCAAATCAGACATCGCTGGCACTTCAAATTTGGGCGACAGGGCAAACGCTGCGGAAAAGCTTGAAGTTGTGTATATGTCCCATTCCCAAAATTTGCAACGCTTCACAAATTTACGTGTCATTCTTTTACAAAGACACATTTTATCGAAAATGTACAGTGCGATATCGAGAAATTGTAGCCGATTAAAGATTACTCTTTTTTCAGATATGGCAACATTCTCCTACTTGCCCCTGCACTCAAAGCCCTCACTCAACTCCTCATCGAAAATATGACACTCACGAAATTCTTCGGATTAGCTGAGGTTTAACAATTTTCAAATATAACTATTTTTTATGTTAAAGGTATCTCTGTTATCAAAATTTGCATATTCAAATTTCCAGGTGGACTCCTTGCTATCCGAGTTCATTCTGGATGACATCAATGATCACTCGAGTACCCCAGTCAATCTACAAGCGACACTACAGGTAAAAAAGCCAACCTATTGTGCTCTTTGTGCTCAAGAGCTTCATCTAAACACACCGCTTCTGGCGCACTGGATTCTTTATTTTTTAATTCTGCAAGAAAAAGGAATTTGGTGTGCCGAAGGGTGTTTTTAGACATCTGAACTGGACCTGGTCCAGCGCAACTTCAAGGACTCAGTTTAGCCAGCTATTTAGTTGCCTTAAAAATATTGCAATCTAGTTGCTACAAATATTGCAATGTAGTTACAGTACTCCTTGAAGTGCCCCTTTCCCATCTCCTTTTTCAATCCCGTCATTTCCAGGGTCTCCTCCCCACTTCCTCATCTTCTGTTTTGGGTCTTTCAACCACATCCACCATGTCCACATCAACCATTTCCACGCCACTTTCCCTCCCATCATCCCTCAATGAGCACACAGCTGGATTGAATGCCCTCGTGCAACAACAATTGGCAAATAATCATTGACAATGAAGGTGAGTGAGCGAAGGATGATCCAGATCTGTATCTAAAATTTTAGACTTGTTTAACGGTCCTTAACGATCCTTAACGATCTTTAACGATTCTTAACGATCCTTGGACTAAAACTTGACATGACTATGTTAAAATGCAATCTTTTAAAAGCTAATTACTTTGCTGGCATCTTCAAATCTAATCCAGAAGCTTGAGTAATTTTTGTAAAAAATGAAACACCTTGACCGTGACCGGAATCGAACCCTCGTTGTGTGGGTACCATTAAGGACCGTTAAGGGCCGTTAAGGACCGTTAAGCAAGTCCATAAAATCTACTATATATAAAACTATATGTGTTTGTCTGTTTGTTTGTCTGTCTTGTCTGTACGGGCATTTTCTCAGCCGTGTTTTGATCAATAAAGCTAAAACTTCTTTAGAAAACCTTAGAATATATCGTAGTTGTGCCACTTAAAAGAAATTTTTTTAACAAATCAATGTTGGATGAGCCATCCGGGATTCGAACCCAGATCGCGTCAGCCGTAGACAGTCGCGCTTCTCACTGCGCCACGGCAACCTAAAACATCCAGCGAGAAAGCCAGCAAAAACATCGGCTGGTTTTACCATAAAAGAAATCACTAGAGTGCGTTTAGACTTAAAATTTGAGCCTCGAATAGCTTTTCGTCAAGCTGATCACACAGCTGTCATAGGTCTAATTAAACCCGCCTTTCTCCTTTTCTCAAGCGTTACAGATCGTTCTTAATTTGTTTATATGAAGCTTTCTGAATCAAATTTGCATTGTGGGATCTTCTATACGCGCCCCAACGCCCTTGCCATTGGCAATCTAACTTTAAACTCAAATTTCTTGGTGTTCAATAGAAATAGTTTTTATACCAATCAATAGAGAAAGACTTGGCGCATCGAATGATGCCAAGAATATTTAAATTGGACAGCACAACACCAAGATATTTGAGCTTAAAGTTAAATTGCCAATGGCAAAAGGGACGCGCGCATCAAATGTCCAATAACCGCTGACTTGACCTTGTTTGGTTTGATCTATAATCAAACATGTCCCCTTTCTCTTTCTACCGTAGCCTTGTCTCTATTTTTTTATCCAATCTATCCCCTTTTTTATATCTTTTGATATCTTCTGTGAATCCTCACAGAATCAGACAAAAAGTAGATAGATTAGATAAGAAAAAAGGCAAGATTACGGTAGAAAAAGAAAGAGGACAGGGTTTAGAAAAAGGATTATCTGAAAAACAAGAGCAAATTCACAAATTTAGCCGTCCGATCGACTTCATTTCTCCAATGGGACCAATCCACCCAAAAGCAGCTTCTTTTTTTTATGCCCGAAGACCAAATTCACCCCAAAAATCAGGGTCTTTTAATTGTGAGATTTTTTCGTGATACTGTAAAGTTTTGTAAGTAAAATTTTGTATAGTTTTCAGAAAGCTTTCTGCTTTTTTGTATTCTCATAGTCATTGCTAGTTTTTATCTTTTTTGAATGCAAATCTTTTTTTTGATATTGTTGTGATAGCTCGGATTCGAAAGAAAACTGGTAGCAAATGTTGTTATTTGAAAAAGAAGAAACCTCCAAATTTTATTCAAACAATTTTATGTTCTGAGAAAATTCTTATGAATATATTTTTTTCTTATCTCACGTTTTATATGTTAAATTTTCTTGTATTAATAAAAAGTAAGTAAAGAAGTTGAAAAGAAAGTGAACGAGAAGGAGTGCGTTTAGAAAATTGAGCACAAAATACATGCAGAGTCAATTTTAGTTGGAAAGAGATCTAAATTTTGCTTTTAAAATAAATACTACGGTATGATACAGTAATGATATTAAATGATATTAAATGAGTAATGAAGTAAGTAAGTAACAGTGAAGTAACAGTAATGATATTAAATGAGTAAACTAGTCTTTATTGAGCTACGAGGCTAATTCCAAATTACCGTACTCCGATTACAGTATAGGCGTCATAATTATGGACCCAGAGAAATCCAGATAACTAACCGAAAAAAGTCACCTAAAGATAGCCTAAAGATCCAACAAGGTTTTTATAACAATCTTTATATGTTAACAAGTGTAAAACTCAAATTTCAAAAATTCCTTTGTCAGCGGCGGAGAAAGGACCTGGATGGAAGGCGCTAACGTCAACGACACGCAAGTAGGCAACATCAACCTCGTCCCATGCTTTAAGGACTTTCTTAAAGAACTTTCTTTAAGAACTTTTTTTAAGAACTTTCTTTAGCGAGCCTACTGTTCGATGTGGTTTAGCACACACCTTAGCCTAAGATTGACCAGAAAGAAAGCGGATTAAGATCCGGTAAGCTTGGAGGCTATTCGTTGAATGAGATGAAATTGGGTAGGTTCTGCTCACACCAATCCTGGACCATTCGAGACTTGTGAGCCGGTGCACCATCTTGCTGAAATACCCAGCTATGTTACCCAAAATGAGATTGAGTCCAGGGCAAAAAAGTCTTGTCGCAAAATGTCCAAATATGCTTGACTGTTGACCTTGGCTCTTGATGGCACGAAGGCAAGAGGATCTGATATGATTCATCGGTCGTGATCCCTGTCCACACCATGACTGCATGAAGAATCGATCGATTTGTGTGAGTTGGAAATGGCATAATTTCGGTCATTCTGTTTGTTTAGCAATTGTTCAACGTTGAATAATTTTTCCTCTAAGAACAAAATCTCACGATAGCCTGGTTGAATCGCCTGCGAAGGTTCTCACATCGCTTTTTTCTTCTTGGCAGCTTTGGTGAAGCCCTGACCTTTGTTCTTTTTGGAAGCTTTCATCTTGAGCCGCTAGTACAATTTTCATGGTCAATAATACCGTACTCCAGAACCAGCCCAGTCCGTCCACCAAAGGCTGAACTGGCCAATTACGGTATTTTTAGTCAGTAGAACAGTACGTTTGATCTATTACAGTACTCCTAGCGGTACAGTATGCTTAGGCTACAGTCTGTAGTCTGTTATACAGTACGCCTGATCTAGTATGGAACAGTTGGACACGCCGGTTGGGGCTGGGAATACAAAACATGATCGGCGCCGGAAGCCGCGACCTCTTGCTTACCAGGTGAACGCTCTACCAATGAGCTACACCGACATGTATACCGTTGCCGCCAAGGTAGGGCTTTATGCCTTACTGAACGGTACGTCTGGTCTAGTATATTAGGCTTTTCAGAAAGTCTTTTCGTTCCTTTTCGTACTTCTGTTTAAATCAACAGCACCAATTGAACTGTTTGTTTCAACTACGATTTGTTTCATTAGAAAGATCAATTATTCTTTCTGCAAAATAACATTAAAACTGGTTTAAAATGTTTGTCTGCGTTTTTTTGAGAGTGTAAAGTCGGGTAGTCAAAAAGGCCAGCGTTTGGAAAAAAATTGTAAACTCTTATGCACCAACCCCATGACTTCAAATAGCTAAAAACAACTACTGCAACTGCAATCAACTACAAACAACTAAAACAACTACTGCAAAGAATATTATTATCATTTTATAAATCAAAAAATTTCACTCAAAGCCGATCCCACACAGCTGATGTTTTTCTTTCAGAAAAAAAAGGGAGGGAACAACGGGATGAGGAAAAGAAAAGAAAAAAAGGGACCGATAAGTGATTGATAGGCTACGTTTCCTTTCTTTTCCCACTTTCTCTTCCAATTTCCTCTCCAAACATTTCATTCATTGGATCTCTTCTCTTTTCTTTTCTTTTCTTTTCTTTTCTTCTCTTTTCTTCTCTTTTCTTCCCCTCTCTTCTCTTTTCTGATCACATTTCTCTCATTCTTTTCCTTTTTTCCCATTCGAATCGATCGTTTTGTGTCTTTTCTTTTCTTTTTTTGAGTGACCGAGCCTTTCCTTCCTTCTTTTCCTTCTTTCCTTCCTTCTTTCCTTCTTTCCTTCCTTCCTTCTTTTCATTAAGAAGATCGCTTCTATGATCTGATGTTTCTGATAAAACATTCTGTTTTCCGCTAAATTTTAATCAAGATCTAAATTTGATTCATTTCTTTTCTGTGTTCTATGAAATTTCGTGATGTCATCTAGGGTAATTTGACTCATAAACCTTATGAAACTAGCATTTAAACTATAGTTCTCTAAGAAAAGAGAAGAGAAGAGAAGAAAAGAAAAGAGATCACAATGAATGAAATGTTTGGATAAGCAAATCTTCATCGTAAACTTTTGTTACCAATTTTGACAGCTTTTACAAACAATCACCCTATCAGTGTAATGTTGAATGCTCATGCCGTTCATTTTCTCATCACTGACAATGCTCAATGTGCTTTTGCCTCTAGCATTACAGCTTTCTGCTGAATTTCATCTGCTGATCCAAAAATCGAAAAACGAGCGTGGAATTCAAACATTAGATTCGTTTTTCCGGCTAGAAAAGTTTAAAAGAAAAGCTGAGAAGAAATATTAGGTTGAGTACTAACTAGGAAAGGTCGCCAACTTAAGGTCGAATTTTAAAACGAGATCTATCGTATCTTGTTCAGTTTCGCGGGTTTTCCGAATTAGTTTTTTTTTAAGCTCTAAATAACTTTTAGCTTTTAGTTAAAAAAACAGATATTGGTTAAAAAAGTTAAAAAGTTGAAAATGTTGTCAATTAGAGAATCGAATTCGGTTCAAAAGCTTTGTAATTGAGAGAACTACCTCTCGAGAGAACAATGGGATATGTGGGATATGTTTGAGAGAACAATGGGATATGTTTAAGGGAAGCGAGGAAGTCTTTACAGAGCGATAGCTAAAACTTTAAACCCAAATTCCTTTCGTTTGCAAGTCATTTAGGAAAAACTAAAAGCGAATTCGGAAAGCCCGTGAAAAACTGAACAAGATAGGATAGATCACGTTTTGAAATTCTACCTTATTTTCCATCTTCCCTAGTTCATCTTCCATCTTCCCTAGTTCATCTTCCATCTTCCCTAGTTCATCTTCCATCTTCCCGTGCTTCTTCCCACAACGTTTTGCATTCAGCAGCAAGTGTATAATTTGACTTTTGTTTCTTTCGAAG